ACGACAGTTATACCTATTCCTCCCGGAGTCGTTCAATTAGTTGTGACATCAGCACAACCAATGACTGGAAGTAATTCAAATATAAATGACTTTTACAAAAGTGGTCAATCATTTATCCTAACATCACCTCTTCCTTCATTTACACCTCATGTTAATCCATTGCCATTTCCAGCAACCAATTCATTAAATGTGACAAAAAAGACAATAATGGATAGGAGGCGTACATATAAATGCAATTATGAAAATTGCTCCAAAACTTATTATAAAAGTTCTCATCTTAAAGCTCATATAAGAACACATACCGGTGCGATACCTCTAATTTATTTATGTATGTATTTATTTAAAATAATTTATTTAATTTGGTTTTAGGGGAAAAACCATTTGTTTGCATTTGGGAGTCGTGTGGTCGACAGTTCTCACGATCGGATGAGTTATCTCGACATAAGCGGACACATACGGGTGAGAAAAGGTTTGTCTGTAAGGTCTGCGACCGAAGATTTATGAGAAGCGATCACTTGACTAAACACGTCAAGAGACATATGGCAGCAGATAATAAACGTAAAGCTATTGAACTAAACATTAGACCGTCTGTACCGATAATTAATCCATTGGTGACGAGTGTATCTTCTGTACCAATCACCACAAGACCTACTTTATTCATGATATAGACAATAGTTTTTAAAATTATATACATTTTTATTGTTTGATTCTAATTCATTACTTTCAAAATATTTTATGTAAATTGAGTTAAACATTCAAATTATGTACAAATTAGTTATATATGGAAAATATTGAAATGACTTATCAAATGAAAAATCAGTTCAATTAATGAGATGTATTAACCCATAATTAAGTAAATAATTTCCTATGATTTAAAGTTACGAAAAACTCTAACGAGTTTATCATAATATTGTTTAAAAGTTACAATCAATCCATTTTCATTGGTCACCTCTTCTTCAAAATTGTATTTAATTATATTTCCATTGATTGTACTCATCTTCATATTATTTATTGAGTCTATTATAGCATTTGGCGCACATATATCCCATTTTTTAATTAATGTGTTGTGGATATAAGCATCAGCCCTTCCCTCTATCACTTCAATTGTTTTATATCCAGAACCTGCCGCTGAAATAACATTAACATTTTTGTACTCTTTATCCATTAAAGAATGGATAGTTGTGTTGATATATCCGGCGTGAGATCGAGAGATAATTATTCGTAATGTTTCACTACTTATATCATTTAAATGTCTATTTTGAAGGACTGATTTAATATTAGTTGACACACCTATCCCTTTCCATGACCAGTATGTCTCTCCTTTAAATGGTTTATGAATAATACCAATAATAGGTTCACCATTTCTGGCCACACAGACCATTGTCGTTACGTATTGAGTCAATCCTTCAGAATATTCTTTAGTGGCATCTAAAGGGTCGACCCAAACAGTAAGTTCCCCTAATGGCACTTCTATACCAAACGGCAAATGTGTATACCGTTCATCGTATAGCAGTTCATCGCTTACGTAAATTGGTTTTATATCAATTGGTCTGTCCTCTGGTGAAGTGGCCTCTTCTGAAATGATCCTTAATCCAGGAAATGCTGCCGAAAGTGAGTGAACCATAAGTCGATGAGAGGCCATATCACCTGAACATTATTGTCAGACAATTAATAATTAATTTATATTAAAATGCTGAGTAATATACATCCTATTTGATAATATAAAATTCAAATATTTAATTTAATTTTAGGCACTTATTTAAAATTGTATTAAAATAATGGCAATAGCTTTCAACAAAAAAATGTCTTTCTCTTAACTGCAAAAAGTCGTATATTTAGCAAACGTTTAAATATAAGTCGAGACAATTGCAATCTTAACATTTAATTATTTGTAATAACATTTTACACAATTTTATATTAATTAATATAAATTGTAAATATCTAAATATTAACAGTTTCTTAAATATATTATCAAAAATCTCAATTTATTATTCAATATAATTGACAAAAGTTTAGAAATATCGATAATATATATCAATTAGCAAATTAGTGTCAAAAATATATTAATTGTGCAAAAAATTTAAAACTGTGAAACTTTTGATGACATTCTTTAAAAAATACAAAATAAACTTTTTCTTTGTCAGGACTTGAACTCATGGCTTTAGATTACATATTAAAAACTATATACAGTATTAATAATTTAAAATTCTGGTATTATTTTTCCGGCAATATATTTACACTAATTTATTATATTATATATAAAGTAATATTTGTCTAATTATATAATAATAATTATTAAATAAACGTTTGGACAAAAAGTATATTTAATTGTATGAATTGAATGGTTTGATCCAAACCTTGTGTCAGCACATCATTAACTCCTTCTCTGGTTTTGCCTTTACTTTTCATATGAAGAGTATTAGTATTGAAAACCCGGACCACCTCTTGTCCGCCGCCGACGGCCGCCATTATACCGGCTGTCAGTAAAGACACACATTTACCTCAAAATATATCTAAACTAATGTAAACAAACTAAACCTATTAATAATCTCTTGAGATCGATGTCTGCCGAAGTTAGCCATGAATTTGATACCAATTTGTCTTTAGTTGCGAGTAATAGATAATACCAAAAGACAACAACTGAAACAAATATTGCGATAATTAGGAGAAGAGCTTTAATATTGAATCTTATAATATATGGCCACATGTTATCTGACCATTGATTAGACACTATTATGACATTTATTTCATTTAGATATTAATACATATAATTGAAAACAAAATGTTTGTAAACAAAACAATCAAAATAAATATTATCGTAATTTGTGTCACTTATTACAGTATATACAGTACTACTACAGTATAATAGAAATAATAGAAATAACTGAACATTTTATTTGATTATTTGGATATAATGTAAAATAGGAGCTGTGATTACACCCTCTATTAGATTGAAACTTAACTATTGTGTTAACACTACTAAAGCTACATATTGTTAAATATATACAGTACATCCACAGTATAGCATACAGTTAAGTGAAAACACTAATTGATCAATAATAAGCACTTAATAGTTTATTAATTAAGTGCAAAATTAATTATTTAGAAATTATTAATTATGGTGTAATACCATTAAAATTTAGGTTAGGTTGCGGGGCGTACACCAGGTTAGGTAACACTAATTTACTATTACTTGACTACTATTGCTTGCTTTCTATGTATATGTTATACTGTATAACATACACAGTGTATAGTTTTAGTTAAACTAATATCCAATAGAGGGGGTATACACAGCTCCTACTCTAAATTTTGCCCGATTATTTAAAACATCAAATAACTTAATATACTTTTGAGTAATACTTAATATTTCATATATGTTATAAAGTTTGATTAAATAACATTTAACGTTAAATAATAAACGTTTTTCATTTAATTGCAAAATCATTGCATAAATATTAACAAAAATAAAATGATAAAAAATGTCTCAATTTTACTGATTTTGTAAAAATCCCATAAAATGTCGAAAGATTAACAAATCCCGAAATTCAAAGCTCTAAAAATTAAAATTCTTAGTAAAAAATATATTAAAAATATGATAATTAATTGTTAAGTGAAGTATAGATTTAATTATTATATTATATAAAAGTACACAAGAATTGTTAAAATATTAAATAATGTTATCTATTGAACGATTTAAACAATAAATAATATTAATTTGAAATGTTTTTTTAATTTTATTAACAATTAACAAAAATCTTATATCTCAAAAACTACCCATGATAATTTATTAAAATATTTATCWAAATACTCATAAAAGTATGGCATTTTAGTTGTTGTACTTATTTTTTAAGTAAGCAAACAAATGATGATATAATTGAAAAAACATTAGAATTAATAAAGCGATTGACTATTAACGGCTTATAATAAAAATGGCCAAAATGCTGCCGCAAAAAAAATTGAAATTATGTTACTGATAACAATAATAAAAAAATTTTAATGAGTATTTTGATAAATATTTGAGTAAATTATCATGGGTAGTTTTTGAGAAATCCAATTTTTAGAAATTAACAAGAAAAATGCCACATTGTATTATACACATTATATACTGTATTAATATTACTAAATATATAATATTAATACTGTGTTTATTATTATTTATAAAATAGTATTTCGTTTAATTAAAATAAAATAGTAAAACTATTATTACTCATTAAACTCATTAAAACTATTAAAAAATTATTAAACTATTTATTAAAATAAATACTTTTTTAAATTATTGTAGAAGTACTGTATAGCAGCTATAGTATATCTTATACATATAGATATTCATGAATACTATTATTTTAAATATTAAAGTAGTATTTTACTGTATTTAAAGAGATATTTTAAAAATAAAACATTTTAAGCAATTATATATTAATATTAATAACTTATATTTTAAAATATAATATGATATATTTTATGATTAAAAATCTAAATAAAAATAATTTTTTAAATAGTTATAATAATTATTTATAATTGAAATTAAAATTATATGAACCATTTGGTTGATATTTGATAATCACATTAATTTTTAAAAATTAAGATTATATCGGAAAAATAATACAAATAAATGAAATCTTTTGATTATAAATATATTTAAAAAATACATTAACGTTATATTTAATTATATTAATAATATGTTGTTTGTATAATATTGTAAATTACAATTTGTAATATATATTGTATTTAGAGATGGGCAAATAGAAAGTTTCTAGAAAATTTCTCAGGAATAAATTTCTATAGAAATTTAACTTTATTGTTATACTAAATTAATTAACTTTTTACTTTAATTAATAATTAAAATACTAATAATAATATTTAATTATTACTTATAAAATAATGTATTATAGATTCTATAAATTTCTCTTTTTCCAACACTAATTGTATTGTATGTATGTATGTATTGTTAGTGTATTTTTTGTTTGTTTAGAATTCTGTAATAAATATATAAAAATGTATTTATAATAAAATAAATGACTTAATAATACAAATATTTTATTACTATTAAAGGTCTTGTCTGAAAAATTTCTAAAGTTTACAATTTAATCTATTGACTAATAAGATTTATTTGTTAATATAGGACAACTACTTTTCATTTTATAGATTATGTAAACTTAATATTATTTCAGTTTTAACTTATAATATAGCAATTATTACAATAACAATAACAATACAATATAATACAATACAGTGCAGTAGATTGTATTTACAGTATTATATAATAAATACAATATTTAATACAAGTTGTAAGTTTGTAATACATCGTCAATACTATTCAATACTTTAGTTGTTATATTATGATCGAGTGGTCACTTATATAAAATTATTAACTTTCATTACATTTTAATTACATTATTAGAGTAAGTGATTTAAATTGCATTAATTTGATATATATCTTAGTAAATGGTTTATTATAATCTTAATTTACAATACAGTATTACAATAGACAAAAAATCTAATTTTATTTAATTAATTTAGAAACAATTGCCAGTACTTTAAAGATTAAATTGTAATTTACAGCATATTTAGTTTATGATTTATAGTAATAATTAAAATTTGTTTTACTTTTGCTATAATTTGTCAAAAAAAAACTTTATCCGTTGGAATTAGTGATTTATTTTCAATGTTTATCGCATATGAATGTTTGAAATTTAATAAATTTTATTTACATTATATTTTAAATGTTGTTTATATTTATCATATAATATATTCTAACTGTAAATAATATAATGTAGTTTATAATTGAATATTTGTTTTTCATACATTTTTTCTAGTTTGGCATACAATTAGAATTTGAATATGAAAATAGCATTGTTTAGTCAAAATATATGAAACTTTAAATTTTAAACATAAAATAACTATTTATATCATAAATAAATCATTAATTGGTACTAATTATGAGCTAAACACCAGATCTAATACTTAATTTATATCGTAGAGTACAATAAACGTTGAGATAGGCATTAGTGGTGATTATATCAGTGACATTCATACAAATTGAGTTGTCGGCTGTGTAGTGGACAGTCTGGACAACTCGGGAATCGGGTCGAGATCTCATATGAGAGTATGAGAAAAGTTAACTCTCAAAACATACCGTATGTCTGTAAATCCAAGTAATGGATAAAGTTTTTAACAAAAGTTTACAACAAATTAAATTTAGTTAGTTTTCTAATTTCTAAATAAAAACTAATTTAAACCTATATTCTAAAATAATTTACAATAAATTAATGTTTTTATAATTGATAGTAATATATGTTGTAAATATTTTTTAATACTTGTTTTATTTAATACTACGGTATTCCTAAACTAAAATGATTCTAACAGTACTAATAAAACAGTTAATTTACAACTAATATTAGCTCTAATAACTAGTAATAACTAATAACTGAAGCATACCTTAAAACTTTTTAATAAAATTAAACTAATTTTTGATTATTTAATTATTTAGTAAATCTATGTCTTAATTAATTTAGGTATACTTTTAAAAATTCTGTATAAATTACAAAATTATGATATCATAACAAATAAATAAATGTGCAATTTTTGGTAATAAATGTTGAATTTATTATAATTAAAAATAAAGTTTAGGTCGAAAATAAATTGTGAGTACAGGTAGGCCACGACAGGTCGGTGCCTCAAATAGGCACTGTTGACCTGCGATAGTATAGCGTGTATACAATGCTATGCATGTTGAGCACAGGCAATGTCAGTGAGTGAGTGAGTGTGTGTGTGTGTGTGTGTGTGTGTGTGTGTGTGTGTGTGTGTGTGTGTGTGTGTGTGTGTGTGTGTGTGTGTGTGTGTGTGTGTGTGTGTGTGTGTGTGTGTGTGTGTGTGTGTGTGTGTGTGTAAGTGTGTGTGTAAGTGTATGAAGTGTTGGCACAGTTGTGTTATGGGTTGAGCAGTGCCTGACAGCCTACGGGCAATGACCTGACGGCCTGTCGACGTCACCCGCAATGACCCGCCTCTCGCCTCGTAATGCAATAGAGGGTCAACACTGAACACTGCATACAACTATAGGTTAGCATTGATTGCATTAGAGTTGAGTCTCATTTGATTTGTGAGTCCATTGAAGGCATTACACAATACATGACTTGTTGTGTGTCTAATGCGTCGCACATTTCATGAACAGCACAACCATTTGGTGACCATTTTGTGACCATTTTGTGACCCATTGTCACCATTACTGTCATCACTACTCCATACATACACCAAACATCACGAAATGGTAGTCGAGTTAACATCAATAGTGGTTCCAAGTGGTGATCAAGTGAGACATCTTCAACATAATACTGTGGCCTTCATTGACTCTACCAGTGCTCCCATTGGAAAGGGATCTCTCTATATATCAACCGAAAGGTATGAGTATAACCCTAATAGCCATTTGAGTGCCATTTGTCTGAATTATAGTCAAACTTTTGTGTTGACCTCAATCTGCATGTCTTGAGTCTAATGAGATGAATGTTGTAATACAAGAGTTTTAGAGGAACGGTATGTCGACTGAGTAGTGAACCAGTGGTGCAATCAATGGCTCAGATGTCGACCTCATTATGAAATAGTGTTAAATAGTGTTAACTCTAACCAACTGTAAGCCATCCTATGGTTTATACTAAAGGAAAGCAAAAGTGACTCATTTTGAATGCATTTAATGACTTTAACTCTAATTTAGGCCAACATTGCAATGATTTGAATGATTGCAATGAATGTTAACTTTATATCTAATTGTTTTACATTTTCATATACAGACTGTTGTGGGTCACAGATAACGGACAGGGATTTTCATTAGAGTATCCAATGATCGCATTACACGCCATCTCAAGAGATTTAACTAACTTTAACAGTGAATGTCTATATTTGATGACTGAAGAGTCCAACGTGAGTGACACCGAGTCAAGTGAGTGATTATGTCTTAAACTTTGTGACAATTTCATACTAATATCATATATGTATACAATATATTGCTTATAAGTTAGTCAGTAATTAGTGTTAGATTTAATTAACTTTATTGTTGCTTATAATTGATACAAAATGGTGTGATTTGATGGGGAAATAAGGTTCAGAAGGAATTGCTTAACATTTAGTTATAATTGAATGCATTAATTATCTCTAATGATAATGTTTTCCTCTTTACCTCATATGATGGACTACTCATTGAACTATTGAATGTCTGGTCAATAGTTGGCACACCATTTGGACAGTGCTGTTAAAACAACCAGTTGTGTTAGCATTGATCACTACTAGAGTCATATCGATGCCTTCTGTCTTATTTCTCGACCAAACTAACTGTCCTCATGTGTTACTGTTGTAACAAATCTAAGATATCATATGTGGTTAAACAACACATCCAAACAGTCAATTGACTACAAAAATTTATTTAAAAAACATTTTTACGGAGTAACTGATGCTGTGATGACATCCAAACTCCAATACCTTATTCACAACGATATGGTTAACAAATTGCCTGAAAACGATACCTGTGCTACAAATTTGACCATTAAGTGTGAACCTGATAGTCCCTCTAGTGGTGGTGATAATAGTGCCGGTGAACCAGAAACTGAGTTTATTAGTGTTCCCACATCTCCAAGTGCTATAGTAGCCATGGGTTTAGATTATGACAACTCGGCTGATAATTCAGGTTCTGAATGGATCGGTAGAAGTCCTGGAGATTGTGGCAATGCTGATGACTCACCCCCTCCTACATCGAGCTCTAGGATTTCATTTTCAAATGTCAATCTTCATTCTTCACCACTTCTTAACCCAACTATTGATAAGAAAACGATTGAATTTTGTGTTGTTTGCGGAGATAAGGCTTCTGGGCGTCACTACGGCGCCATTTCTTGTGAAGGTTGTAAAGGATTCTTCAAAAGAAGTGTCAGAAAACAACTCAATTATGTCTGTCGTGCAAATCAAGACTGTGAAGTGACAAAACATCACAGAAATCGATGTCAGTTTTGTCGACTCCAGAAGTGTCTTCAAATGGGAATGAGAGCGGATCACTGTCAGCCCGAACGCAAACCATTAGCTCTTGAAGGCAGTGCTAGTGCTATACATGCAGTGATAGCGGCCGCCACTAACCAAAATCAATCTCTGCCCACGCGATCATTCACAACAACGAGCACTAACTCAACTCTTCCTCAGAGGCCAATACTTCCAAGAAGTGCTGATATATCGAGTATTTTTGACAACCAAACGGCTTTATCTATAATGGAAGCAACAGCCAGTGGGACCAACTCTGGCCACTCTATTCATACATCTAAAGCAAACGGGGATTTAAGTACATTAGCTAATGTTGTCTCAAATTTAATGGCACTAAAACAAGTGGCTGTGGCAGCCATTAATGCAAATGCGTGCAATGATAGGCCAGATATAAACAAATTAGTTGACAATACCGGTGGTAATAGTGATAACTGCAAAGAAACTAACAGTGCAACCGATCGACAAAACCTTATGATATCAAAAGCAGCTTTTGATATAATGGCTAAAATAGCTTCCGGTTCAAAGTCTAGTTCAGATCAAACGGCACTTCTTTTTGGTGCAATTGATGCCGTTTGTGGACAAAACAATGATAATGAAGACCTTTTTGAAATTGATGGTCCCATACTCACTGATCAACATTTTATATTCAATTTGACGCCCCCTATAGCCGGTGCTTCGTTTCTATCGTTACAATATATTTGTGAGTCGGCATCACGTCTTCTCTTCTTATCTGTCCATTGGGCGCAATCTATACCTGCTTTTCAATTAATGTCTATTGATGTCCAAACATCATTGGTTAGAGGCTGTTGGTGTCAATTATTTGTCTTAGGGTTAGCACAAACATCACAAGTAATGTCTTTGGCAACCATTTTATCAGCCATTATAACACATTTGCAAACAACTCTAAGAGAGGATAAATTGTCACTTCAAAGAGTTAAAGGAGTGACGGATCACATCTGTAAACTACAAGACTTTGTTAATTCATTTCAAAAACTAGAAGTTGATGACAGAGAATATGCTTATCTTAAAGCTATTGTTTTGTTTAGTCCTGAAAATGCAGGCATTGGTCTTATGATGAATTGTCGACAAATCGACAGATTTCAAGAAAAATCAGTTCGTGAGCTCAGAAATTATATCAATGAGACCTGTTGTTCATCAGACGAGGCCAGCGATAGGTTTGCTAAACTTATATTAAGACTTCTTCCACTTCGCTCATTACTGCCCAACATTACCGAAGAGTTATTCTTTTCGGGACTCATCGGAAGCGTTCAAATTGATAGTATAATACCTTATATATTGAAAATGGATGCAAACGACTTCAATGCAGAGTTCATGTCTTCTAAGACCAAGACATGCGACACATCGCCTCTTCATTCGTCATCAATGTCTTCAAAATTTAATAATTGACGCCTTCTTTCTAACGTTTTATTTTCATTACTGTTTTGCATATCTAATCAAATTGTTTTATATGTTTGTTTGAATTTCTTAGTTTACACTTTTCATCATTTTTAATAATTTTTGAATCAAATAATTAAAACATTATATTAAAGATTTAAGTCATTTAAAAAAAGTTATATTAAAATTATATAATATATAAATATGAGAATGTATTATTAATATTAGCAAATGAAATATATTAAATATTAGTTATTTTTTTAAATAGATTATGTTATTAATTGTACAAAAGTTGATAAATTTAGTTATCATAAAATAATTTTGTTGACATTTATATCGAAAATAAAGATAAATTATTTTAACTTTAAATGCAATAAATACTATTTTTACTTCCATTCAGCCGATGGCAGCGATTCCCGTAATAATGAGATCCGTTTCGTACCCGAAGACAAAAGTCAGTTAGATATCATGTTTAAAGCTATGTCTGAATGTCAAGCATTACATCCCGATCCCAATGACTCTATTTCTGAGGACGAAGAAGAAGGTGATGAAGAAGAAGGCGATTATAATAATGAAGAGATTTTTGAAGACGCGGATAACGATCAAACTAAAAGTAATGGCGACACCAATTGTGACGATACAGCAGCACATGTTGTCTATGATGTGGCTTCTGCTGAACGATCACGAGGTGTACCCCCAAACCTAATGAACAACAACTTGAATAATGCTACCAATGATGACGAACCCATGGAAGTTGTTGGACAGTTTGATGACGCAGACAATGACCAATAAATTTTGATTTAAATTACAAATCATTTAAACAAATCGTTACAAATATTGTAATCATTTGTTGATAATTGTCTTTTATATTTAAATTGTGTTTTTTGATTAAATCATATTTTGCTAATAACTTAATAACTATAATAATTTGTTTTCGATTTTTCTCTAATTTGTAAGTTATTTCAATGAAATTGCAATTAAATTAATATTAACTGCAATAATATAAGTATGTCTTATAATTATAATGAGTTGACAATTACCGGTAATAGTATTTATTTCAAAAAAAAATTGTCTAAAGTGTACTGGTTCAAAATTACCTATAGTTTACTAAATTTTTCTAATTTATTTAACTACCAGTAAAATTGAAAATAGTATTAAACGTTGTATTGTATTTACGGGTAAGTATTTTTTGTTTGGTTTGCAAAATATTAAATAAATATGAAATATTGATTTTTTGGTAATTTCCTAAATTTTATTTCAAATTACAAACTAAATCATTGATAATTAGGTCAATTTAAAAGTGCAAAAAATAGTTTTAAGTCACTATAAAAGTTAGTAAAAAATTGGAAAATAGTTACTTAAAAGGTATTTATTTTTAACGAATTTTTAGTAATAAAATTTTTAAAAACTTCATTATAATGCATACTTTAATTTTTTGATCTAATATTTTATCAAATTGTAATTTGTTTTAATTTAATATTATTTATAATATAAAAAACTACATTTATTGTCAGCAACTGTAATAATAAATTATTGTTTTTATATTCATTATAATAGTTACTATTTCTCTGAATTATGATTTATTTCTCTTCATGTTTTACATAATCGCTTTACTGTTATATACTGTACTATATATTATCATTTTTATCACAAATTGTGTTAAATTAAAATAATATTTTAGCTAAAAAAAGCAAAAGTTAACTAAAAGTTAGTAAAAGTTAATAACGACTTAAAAAGTTATTTATATGTGATATAAAATTTGTAATCATTTATATAATTTGATTCTACGATATCTATCGGTAAAAATAGTTAAATAACTTCAAATGTAAAACCTATTGATAAGTATCGCTAGTTTGACGTTAAGTTTGTTTGTACTGATAGTACTGTAATAATATAGACATTATTTATTGTATTTTTATTTAATACGAAATGTAATCAAAACAAACATTTTAAACACTATTGAAATCAAATGTTTCAAAACAATTGAATTGAATAAATCAATGTCTAAATTGAAATCCTCTGCCAATTACTTATATCGCCGTCGGCGACAACTTTATGACCAAATAATTCGCGTCAATCATTCGGGAGAGTTGGCCGCAGATCGCATATATTGGGGTCAATTTGTTGTCCTCGCAAATGATGACAAACACAGTCCAGTCATTCAAGAGATGTGGAGTCAAGAGAAACATCATTTGCAAGAGTTTGAAAAACTGTCGCTTAAGTAYAGGTGCCGTAAGAGTGCTCTCCAACACATATGGAGTGCCACCGCCTTCACGTTGGGTGCCGTCACTGCCGCCATCGGACCTAAGGCTGCAATGGCCTGCACTGTGGCCGTTGAGGATGTCATTTGCCAACATTATGATAACCAATTGAGACAATTAATTAATGACAATATAGACACAAACAAACACTTGATTGATACCATCAAAGAGTTTCGCGACGACGAACAACACCACTTCGACACCGGCATTGAGTTCGGCGCCAAAGACAGTATTGCTTTCAATGTGTTATATAACGTCATCTCAAATGGCTGTCGAGTGGCCATAAAAATAGCCGAAAAAATTTAATAACAAATGAATTATACCTTTAATGCATTCTTTAAATTTATTCAAATTTATCAATAAATATACAGTAAATTATAGTCAAAATGTRAGAAATATAAAATCAGTCAATTATTGTCAATGTTTTACAATTATGTTTAGTTAGTATTGAAGAATTTATTTGTAACATAATGTCAATTATAAAAAATTTCAATATATGTGATATATTAACTAAATTAATATTAAGATTATATAAATCGCAACACAAATAATCATTTAATCAAATGACAAGTTTTTTTGGTGCTTTTGGTGAAAGATAGACACGAATTGGTTTGCAAATGTCTATAACAAAACTATCTTCAGATTTAGTACTTTTGATTGCATTGCCTTTTGTTGAGGAAGAGATCCACGTCTGAGTGGCAGTTAATGTGGTTGAAGTGGTGTCTCGAAAGTCTAAAACTAGACTGATATCAACGGGACACGACTCTACCCAAACCCCATGTGATAAATAGACTGTTGTGTATAACCGATAGTTAGAGAGATTTGGATTTTGTTTGGATTCTATTAATCTAAAATCATTTAATTTTGGCAAAACTACTTGTATTTGTTGGTCCGGGTAATGGATCTAAAATAATTAAAATTCAATAATTCACTTCATATACAGTATATAAATATTAATAAAACTTACTTTAATTCTAACATATTTTATGTCAGATATATTTTCAATTATAGCATCAAATGGTAATCCAAGTATTAATCCTGCGGTAAATTTTAGTGGAGTGTCTGATTTACCGCTCGGCTCATGAATTGTAGCCGTAGTCATACAAAGTCTAACCAAATCATTGAATGTTTTTTCGTTTAGCATTATATCCTTTATAAGATATTATCGATTATTGTAAAAATGCATAAAATAATCTCTAATATAACTTTAAGTAAAAACAATACCAAATCAGATATCGATGAATTTGATGTCGAAAGAAATAAAGGCTTTAAAACTCGAGCAACAGTTCCTGGTTTTGGTTCATCTAATAAATTGATTTCTTTTATCATTTTGGATGTCAAAGAGTCTGCGGTTAGATTGTGGTCAGTCAACAATTTCTCCAAATAGTGAACTTCTGAAATAAATGCTTCACATAAAGCCAGTGCCGATACATTGCTTCCATGAATTATAGCAATCAATTGCAATGCTATCACTTTTAGTCGAGTTTCTTGAATACAAACCAATTGAATTGGATGTAAACCATAGAAACGATTTACCATAGAAAAGGTTGTGCTTAACAACTGTTTTAAATAATTATATATTAAATTAAATTAAAAACAATTTTTTGTCTAATACTTGTTGTATTGAAGATCTAAATGAACTCGTCTGAAGAGCTGACAAAAGGAAAGTATTGATCCAATTAGTGTTCGACAAAATCTGAATAATTTATATATTAATTAATTTAATTGATTTCATAACAAATACTGATTGTATGACTTACTCTACGCAAAGACATCTGGCATTGAAGATAAGCGCATAAAAAATTAGATGCGGCTAATAATGAAGGCTCCACTTCTCCCAAGTGCTGTAAATCTCTAAAATTAGATTTAATAACAAATATTAATAAAATTTATTCAAACAATTAAATTGTAATAATAATTACCTAATCGAATGATTAAGAACTGCTGATTGAATTTGATTAGAAGTGCTCTCCGAAGACATAACATTTCGGACTCTTTCAAAAATCCGTAACAAAAATGAATGCGATCGCGAATGACCTTCGTTTACATCCAACTGATCCAATTGATGATCGCTATCACCCGATAATAATGACAATTGTGGAACTAATGTTGGATATGTGTCCCTAAGATAAAAATAATGTTTGCAAATATGCTCTTCAAATAGGTCTGTCATTGTTGTACACTCTTTTGCAGCATTAAACACAACAATTAAAATTGCAATATCTAAATGATAAATATAATAAATTATTTATAATTACATTTAATATTTACAATTTAATGCATTTTATAGCTTACATCCGGTATCTTCAAGAGAGGTTTCCGGTAAATCAAGAAAAGGATGAATTCCAAGTAAGTCAGGAACGAGTGGTAGTGTAAGATATGGATGATTTGTTCCCAATTTCTTGAAGCACTTCCAAATAGAATTCATATCCTGTGGATAACGCTTTAAATTTTCCAATAGATTATTAATGCATGTCTTCAGAGTTGATTTAGAGGATAGTTTACAATTTGAAAGCATTGCGTGAAGTGCTTCTCGAATATCAATAGAAAAGTCCTTTAAAACGGGTAATATTATGTCGATTTGGTCTTCTCTTAAAACTATATTTCCTCGACTTATTTGTGTTAAACATTGAATTGCTTTAAGCCTAATGTCTTCAATTTCATCGTTAAACATATCAACCAAAAAATCGAGAGCTTGTAAAGCAAATGTTGGAAAAAGTTGTGCTAATTTCATAAGTGATTCAAGTGTTGCCATTCGCACCTCTAATTGTATTAAAAATTATTTAACATTAGAATTATTGATATAAAAATAACGGTTATTTAAAATACCATAAAATTCATCTTCAAGTCCATGAATGAATGCACCGCAAGCACCGATGTTCATGAGATTAACTGTGTCGGGACACAGCTCCTCATGAGGTGCGTCATCGGCCCACTTCTGACCACTAGACCACTCGCCCGTCTCATATGTCTCTCTATGTCTTTCATGTGCCGATTTCTTTTTCTAAATTTTTTTTATAGATTCAGTACAATAATCAGTTATAAATAAAATATAATAAATTAGTTTTTTTTAGTTTACTTGAATAAATAAAAAGAAATACATAAGAAATAGTTATAAACAATAATAAACATAACATAACTCACTCTTAGATTTGACATTAGCTTCTTATCTAAAGTCTGTTCCAAGAAGTTTACACTTATATGAGTGAATTGTCCCTTAAATTAAAAAATTAAATTATTATTATTTAATAATAAAAACAACGTGTTTAACATACAAGTAGTAATGCCGACTCTGCCCTCACATTCATAGACGGGTCGCTCATCATTGAACAGACTTTGGCAAAGGCATCGTCAGCCAATCGGATCTGTTCTGAGCCGTCGTTGACGAAAACCAAACTACAATATATTATATTATAAATCAATATAATATGTAAAACAATGTAAAACTATATAATAAGTATTAGTTGTCATTAATACCAATCTCCGTAGTGTTGACTTATAACTAAAAGTAGTCTAATAGCTGTAATACGGGCGCACTCGTAGTCATCGTTTAGTGATTCACAGAATTCACTGTAAAGACTTATATCTAATTTAACTCCTCTTTCATGAAGTCTTAACTAGAAATCAAATAAAAATATCTTAAAATTAACATTTCTAACGATATAATCATTATATTACTATAGAAGATAATGCTGTGGAGCGAACTCTTGAGTCGTGATAATGACTAAAATCTCTCAATAATTTAATAATAGCAATACATTCCATCTGAATGTGATTCATATCTGGAGACAAATGACTGTTCTTTTGATTAATTGGTGCAAAATCTGCTAATAATAATAAGCACTCGTTTTTAACGATATGATTACAACTATTTTGAAGCAAATTTTTGGCTGTCGTTACGATATTTAGTTTGTGTTGATAATTGATCTCAAATTTGTTGTCCAACTTATGCAAAGTATTCAATATTTCTGCCATTACTATATGTGACGACTCGTTCTTTAAAAGTGACAGTAAATCTTCAATCAATGAATTGATACCAAACACGTCTTCAATTAAATTAAAATTAGTGATCAGCTCTTTGATTGCCGTTATATAAGACATTTTGACAATTGAATCGCGGCTTTTACTCAATTTATGTATCACTTTCTTATATATTTGATGGCAATGGTTGGCATCCATTGAATGCCGACTTTGTCTTTGAAACAAATTGAATAACTCGGACACATTGACGGCATCACCGCTGCTCTTAAACAATTGATTAAGTTCTTCGTGAGTGTCTTGTGTGGTAAGTGCCGACTCATCATTGCTTTCATCCTTCTTAGACTTGCGACTCAATCGCAACTTTTTGTGTTTGTCTTCGAGAACTTGTTCCTGAAATGATATGTCAATGACAAAGAAGTGATTAAATTAATGACAAATAATATTCAATTTTAGTGGTCATGTCTGCCATACCTGTGTTGAAGAGTTAGCAAACTGTGCCAAAGCTCTCTTCTTGATGTGTGCGGCCATTCAGACAACTGTTATATTAATCAAATCAAACTTTTACTACAATTTATAATAACTCTATAATAAACACTAATTCAATTCAATTTGCAATTAATAGTTAATAACATTCAATACAAACAAACATTTCATTTATTCATATTTTACTTCATTTACTATTAATTTCAATTTGAAATGTACTGAAAGTCTTACATAAATAAAGCTTGAATTCGATACAAATTACAGTAAACTTTTAAATGTTAAATAAGTTTAAATAAATTTTTCAATTAATGATAAATACTTTATAATTATTTAGAAAATATTTTATATATCATTTGAATCGCAAACAATAAAAATTAGTTTAAAATTAGAATAACGTAAAAATCCAATATTTTTAGACCTAATATTCTTATCCATACTTAGCTTATCTAATCTATTAATTTATTTATATTACTAAATGTATGCACAAATTATAAGACAATTTATGAGACAATTAATGTGAAGCTCTAGGAAATTATGTAAATTTATTTCCCATATTGTAATAGTAATGATTGATTACTGTTTTAAAAAAAATTATTTTCTATACTGTGGTAATAAATGTGATATATGTTGCCATAACAACAGTTAAATTGTGATTTATTAAATTTTTAAAGAATATTCTACAGTATGTGTAAATATGTGCATACATACGGTAAAATAATTTTGTTTATTATCTTTTAATAACAATATATACAGTAATGTAAATTTACATTAAATTTTATACTTTTATAAAATATAGTTTATATTCAAATTCTGTATTTTCTTATTATTAGACTTTATTATATGTAATACCTGTTGGCATAAAATACTAACAATTGATAGACAATCTCGGCTTATAGTCTAAAAGTAAAATTTTTTAGGCTTTTAAAAGAACATAATTAGAATAATAATTATTTTTAGTTTCAATTAATAAATAAATCGATTTAACTATAATAGTGTATATAAATTGTTATTTTAACATTGAAAGCAAACTACACATTATTAGTCTGTTATCAAATGGGTTTTATTTATTTATGAGATAAATAATAGATTATAAAAATTTCATTATAAAGTATAACAAATTCAATCAAATAATATTACAAATGTTTTAATACAATTATTTTATATTAAATTTAATAAGATAATACAATAAAAGATTTTTTGTGCGCTAAATAATTAAAATGAATAAAATTATATACTATATATAGTTATGTAATGATAGGTCTATTAATATCTTCAGCGATGGCCACCGCTTGAAGTAATTTTTCAAAATTATTTTTACTCGAATTAAATTTATTGATTAAAATATGATTTGAATCAATGGTATCAATCAAATGACATTTATCTTTAATGCTTTGATTCACTTCTTCCTGTGCCCTCTCATATCGAGCCACGGCTTCAATATTTTGGTGAAGAAATCCTAAGCCATATTTGCGTCTCGGAGGACATGGCTTACGTATGTGATGGTTAGCGTCGGGCAAATCAAAAATGCCTTTACTCGTCAACATTTTTGAATGCTTTGTTTGTAAATGTCTTTTATATGTATTACGTGTCTTAAACCTGTAAATAACAATAAATATATGTTTAGACATAAATTACTTCAATTCAAACATTTTAGTTATGGTATACTTAATGAAGCAATCATTGCATTCATAAGGAGTCTCTCCGGTATGTCTTCTCATATGTTCCTTGAAATGCGATGGATGTCTGAAATTGCGTCCACACTCTTCACACACGAAACGCGATTTATTTAAGTGTATTAACATATGATAATTAAGACTATGTTGTCGAGTGAATGTCGACTTACACAGTGAACACTGAAAAGGCTTAACTCCTGCATGACTTCTGTAGTGATATATCAATGTTGTGGGCGATGTGAATGTCTTATCTATACATATCTTACACCTAAACGGACTCTTATCTGTTTGACCCCTATTTTTGACTCGAATATCATTTATGTATTGCAATGCCAGTCGTTTTAATTGYAAAGCATTTGTATTGAGAGCATCAACAACATTGTCATCAATTGTTTGACTCAATTCTGGTTCATTCAAACACATCTTTGAGTTGACTATATTATTATTATTGGATCCAATTTCAATTACTTGAGATATATTTGGCAAAATAGGTTCATAAATAAAAGGAAAAGCAGGTGTTGTAATCACTTTTGTTGAATTTAGACATTTCTTTTTTTTAGTCAATACATTCTCATTGAAAGTTTCAATGGGAATCAAATTGATATGCTTTGGTCCATCAAGTGATGTATAACAATGATCTTCATCACTGTTATGACTGGTTATTAAGTTTATATTCAAGTCATCACAATTCTGTTTCAAGACAAACATCGGTTTATAAGTTAACTCATTATTCAAATGTGTTTTAACACTTTCAACACTAGTTTCACTCATAAGTGTTTTACTTTTGATTGATTTATTAGTTTGTAAATCTGATCTCAAAATGTTATCAATCTTTGAATGACTATTAGTTGAATACAATCTTTTACCATCATTTAGTCTTTGATTTGTTGAGTCAAAACTTTCAGCTGTGAAGTTAGATTCAATACCATTGATGTGATCCAAGATATGATTTTTCATTAAAGTATAGACTCTGTCATCTGCTTGAGTGGTATGAAGAATAAAGTCACACTTGTTTGGTATCAAACGACACTTCAGTTTAAATATATGACGGTTTGAATCACAACTTAATTCACTATTTGATTCAACAAATATCTTGTCTGAATGTCCAACAATTTGATCCACATTTAAGACAGTAGTACTAATCTGTATGAAAAAATATAATCATTAAAAAAGTTAATTATCACTGCAATGACATTCACCTGATTGTATGCTTTGTCACTCTTGGAGTACATCCTCTGATTGAGTTGTTGTTCGGCATTCAATGTCTTGACGGCCACTTCGGCCAACATTCCGAGCAATCGGTTCGAGTCGTCACACGTGTCACTCATCATAAACTGTTGAATGACATCTCATTTATCAATAATTAACCACTTTTTCGGTGATAATATGGTTAACATGTAATCAAAATAAACATTCAAATGATCGACGATTACAACCAAAGTGTGTAAACATTGGCTCTTAAGTCAAGTGATGTCTAACACAACACTCTATACATTAATTACGACCACAACTGGGGGTCACAACAGTCAACGTAAGTGCCATTCAATACCATTGAGTGTGTCGTTAATGATGACCGACGGCACTGACCAATACTGACCACATATTGACCAACACTTACCATACAATCAATACTAATCATAGGATATTCAATGACAGACATTACTGGACACAAGTCATCAAATGTCATGTATTCACACAATCACTACAATAGACTAATGGCGTGCATCACGTGACCAAATGGCGCACGTATTGCACGTGTTGTTACATACAGTCAATTGCATTGTATATTGAATTTAATAAATAATACAATACTTATAATATAAATAAAGTTTCAAATTTATTCATCTTTTTAATACTATTGACCAATATTTCAATATTAATATATTACTGTTAATAATTGTTTGATATTATTTCAAAACTAAATTTATTTCAATAACACTTAACATAAACTATTTTATTATTTCTGAAATAAATATTTATAATAATAATAATAATAATTATATATATATATATATATACTGTATTTCTATTCAATTACAGGAATATCAATCACTTTTTAAACAATAATAACCTATATATAGGTTATTATTGTTTAAAAAGTGATTATATATATACAAATTATTTTTTAAACTTGTATTTTTAAATTTCAATCAATAATTTTTACAGTAATTGATTGAAATTTAAAAATACAAGTTTAAAAAATAATTTGTGAAATAAATAAAAATAAAGTTAGTTAACTATTAATTTACATTTGATTAACCAATTAGTCTCAAAACTAAAATATTAAAGTAATTACAGTAATTAAAATTGACGATAAATAGCAAACAATCATTGAATATAAGTTATATTTATATTATATAACATTGAAGACATCAACTACTGTATAATAGTGTACTTTACTGTATATACAGAATAAAACAATTGTTTTATAATTAATATGATATGAATGTTTGCAAAACTAAGTTTATATTATAAACTTTATAATATTGTTAAAAATCAAATATGCATTTATGAGATTCACTGTCTTTTTAGTGTCATTTAATGATCATTTGATATATCAAATTTAATCATCACTTAATTTGACAAATAAAATGATAATAATGACAAAAAAGACTATAATTTAGATAATTTTAATAAATTTCTGATCAGTGATTAAATTGAAAACTATTTGATAAACATTTCAATGCCAACCAATATATCCAATGATTTGTCACATAATATATGAGAGAATACTTTATTGACTGCACTAACAAACAGACAAACATTTGATTGACTTATAAGTCAATGAAAAGTAAATATTAATTAAATCACTTGAATTGATCCCCATTTATATCACCGAAAATGTCGACTATAGTGTCTTTGGTGTCAAGCAGTAAATGCTTTGGTGGTAAACAAGAGGTGTATAGCCATGAAAGTGAAGAAGTGAAGTGCAAAATGACTTTTTCGGTATATATTCCTCCGAAAGCATTGGACGGACAGAAAGTGCCGGTTCTTTACTGGTTGTCAGGCCTGACCTGTACGGAGCAAAACTTTATTATAAAGTCTGGTTTTCAGAGATATGCAGCAGAAGAGGGTCTTATAGTTGTTGGTCCGGATACGAGTCCGCGCGGACTCAATATTGATGGTGAAGACACAGATTATGACTTAGGGACGGGCGCCGGGTTTTATGTGGACGCAACTCAAGACAAGTGGAAAACCAATTACCGAATGTTCTCTTATGTTACTAAAGAGTTGCCTAAAGTTATTGAAGCAAACTTTCCTATCATAACTGGCTGTCAATCTATTTTCGGTCACAGTATGGGAGGTCACGGGGCTTTAATATGTGCCCTCAAGAATCCTGGTCTATATAAAAGTGTGACCTCTTTTTCACCGATTGCCAATCCTGTCAAAGGAAAGTGGGGTCAAAAAAATTTATCGGCTTATTTGGGTAGTGACCAAACTTATTGGCAACAATGGGATGCAACCTATTTGGTACAGAAATATAATGGACCACCACTTCATCTTATCATTGATCAGGTATTTGACATATTTATATCAATGTATTTATTAAAAATAATTTAAATTAGGGTTCAGCTGATCCATATTTGCACGAAGAACTGATGGTTAAGAACTTTGAAGACGCGTGTGTTTCTGCCAAAGTGCCAGTTAAGTACCAATTGCGTGATGGATATGACCACTCTTTCTTTTTTGTGGCCACTTTTATCGGCGAACATATTAAACATCATTCAACCATTTTGTATCAATCAATTGCTTAAATCAGTTATAAATCTTTGTAAAATTAATTTTTAAATTTTATAAATTAAGATATAAAATTGTGTCCACAATTTGATTATTTTTTGAATAAAAAAATAATAGTATAATATTTGAAAATAAAAATACCGTATATCTAGTTTTAAGACTATTCAACATTTAAAAACAGGATAATTTTGAAGAAAAATTATATTTATAAAATAATTTAAAATTTTAATTTTTAAAATAAATTTATTAATTGAGAAATTTTATAAAAAGCATATAACTATAAAATGGATCAAAAAGTTTTATATTAAAAAGTATTGAATTATTATATAATTGTTTGGTTTATATTTATTGATATATTATTATCGATCTGTTTATGCGACAAAAAGGGTGCGACTGAATGATTGTAATAACAAATTGTTGTTATCATTGGTTTATTGTTGAAAATCACTTGAAATATGAGTGATGCATATGTGGTGACCGAACAGCCGCTGACGGCCACCATTGCCGCCACTACTGAATCGACATCAATAGGTGTATCCAATTCAGGGATTGATTTACTTAATAATTACGAAACATTGATTGTAAAGCAAGAGCGCGATGTTATCCCGACTTTTTGGGAAAAGATATTTTGTTTCGATAGACTTAATAAATATAAAATCAAAGATATTAATGGAAAAACAGTTATGAATGCTGTCGAAGGTATTGGTGATGTAGACATCAATTCTGATAATAATAATWATTATTATTATATATAGAGGAAGAGGGTTGTTGTGCAGCCAATTGTTGCCGAAGAGGAGGTAAGTTTGAGATGAAGATTAAAGATAGCGGTGGCCATGAAGTGGTTCACTTGAAAATGAAGAATCAATGCTGTAATCGTTGGTGTTGTTTCTGTTGTTGTACTTATGAGGTAATAATTAATTTAATAAATATTAATAAAATATGAATAATATTCATAAATCATGTAAAGAAACTGAATGTCTATACGGCAAGTGATGGCAAAATTGGAAGCATTGAAGAGTCGTATGATTGTTGTCACAAACAGCTTAACATATACTCGGTGTCCAAATCGGATCCAATTTATACAGTCAATGGACCCAATTGTGAGTGTTTTCGGTGTTGTTGTGTGAAAACAACATTTTCTATTGAGAACGAGTCGGGAGAAGAATGTGGATCTATTGTAAAGAATTGGAGCGGTTTGGCTAAAGAAGCCATCAATTATGTCGACAACTTTTGTATTAATTTTCCACTAAATATTGACTTAAAAGAAAAGGCTATTCTTCTGGGCACTTGTATTATGATTGTATGTCTTTGTTTTATTAATAAATATATGTTTATATTAATTATGTTCAAAATTATGTATTTTTATCTCAAATTTTAGGATTTTATGTATTATGAAGAAAGTCCTAAAAAGGCAAAACACGATGAAGAMTGAAGTTATTTAAATCATAATATTTTAATTTATAAAACTTTCTTATAATCATATTTCTTTAAATATACAATACTTATAATTATGGTAATTGTTATATTCATTATTCATAATCTAACAAAATATAATATAAATTAAATGCTTTATTTTAGTTATTATTAATACAGTATTTAAATGTTATATTTCTTAGACACAGCAATACAATGACATTAATTACTTGTATTATTAAATTTATTTGTATACTATACTGAACTGTGCAATGTATTGTAATTTTAAGTTTACCGTACAATACATTGGATAGTATATTGATTACATAAAATATTGTCAAATTCGTCTAAAATCATGAAATTATTATTATTATAATTTAGTTCGTCATCAGATGTTTACAATGTTGAGTGAAATTTTTTTTTACAAATTTTCAAATATACTTTCTTATTATAATTTTTACTAATTATATATTAAATGTTTAAAAAAGCAATTTTGCTAATAAAAAGACTAATAATTCTAACAATAATTATTGTAAGTTTCCTAATTATATAAATTAAGTAATTATAATACACAATATATTGTGATATGGATAGAAATTAATGAATATTTATATTTAATTAATACGTGCTTGATAATAAAATAAGTTTAAAATTAAAAAATTATTTGTCTAATTTTTGTACATTATCTATAAATAAATATCGACAAAAGCCTAAAGTAAAGTACAAATGTATTTTAGTAATATTAAAATAAACATAATATGACAATAAAAATCAATATTTTAATTAGAAATATATACACTAAGTGGTAATACCTATTGAATGATAGTTAGAGTTCGAGAAACTTTCCCATAGAGGGATGTTCACTGATAATATCCCTCCAATTTTCGCGGAAAATATTTTATTTTCCTTCCCTTCATTGTTAGAAAAAAAATATTTCATATTACATTAAATACAATAAATAGGAATTACCAGGAAGCATGAAATATAAGGACTTTTGAAAAATAAATTGAGGGAGGGAATTTTATCGAACCCTAATAGTAGTACATTGATAGTAACTTGTATAAATTTACAAGTATTACTTTAAATAGCATTGCATGAATCATAATATATTATTACAACTACGCTATAGTATTTATATTTTTATTTGTTATAACAAAATTTTATTTTATTTATAATATTAATTTTATAGTTAAAATCTTAAATTTTTTTAATGAATTCATATATTATATGCTATAAATCATTACTTTCAAAAGTTTGCCAAATATTTTAATAATTTTTTAAGAGATTAGATATTTATTACAAAGACTTATTTTTTATCAAATATCAAAATCTGAAGTCAATATTTAAAAATTGCAATAAAACACAAATATAGTGAATTAAGGTTAAGAATAGTAATTAATTTAACGGAGTTTGCAATTTAGTTTTTTTGTGTAATTTTATTACTAAATATAACAAAATATATAATTTAGACTCTTTAATGCTATCATGATAGATTTTTGAATTTAACTTGATTACGTATTTTATGCTAATGTTAATTATATACCTTACTCATTTACAAATAAATTATTACTATCAAAATTATTTTTTTACCCTATTATATTAATTAATTAATTGATTTTTTTGTCAATATAGTTAATGTTATGCATTGTATGTTTAACTATTGTTTTTCATTGATTTGTAAATCCAATTAATAATATACTTATGAGAGAGTCTATGATTTAGAGTATATAAGACATAACTAATATATCTTAATTTAATATTTTATTTACAAAATAGTAATATACTTGAAAAACGAAATTTGTAAAAATTTAATATCCCGGCTAAGAGTTGGTCTAATTATGTTAAGCTTAAAATTATTGTCAATTGTTTTGTTGACAACTTGTGAATTGAAAACATATAATATTGGTAAAAAACTTGAATTATTAAATTGCTAAAATTTGTAACTAAAATTAACATTAATTATAAGAAGGAAAAATACTGTATAAAATTATAATAATCTAATAAAATAAATAAAATTATTATATACTAACAGAATATCATGGTTTATCTTATATAGAATTTCAAGAATTTATTTATTGAATTAAATAATTATTTATTGTAAACAATTAAAGTAACAATAGTTATACTTAAACTGTAAGTTATAACTCATAAGCATTTGAGATTGAAAATGGTTTGATTTGATGAGTTTTATTGTTAATATTTGTAAGATTGTGTGTAAAATGTTGAGTTAATTATCAAATTAGGAAAAGTTGTGTTTAGTTGTTGAAAGTTAACAGAGAAATGTTTGTTGTTTGTCAGTCAGTGTCAGTTAGTGTCAGATGAGGTTAAGGCTTAATACATAAGATATGATTGTGTTTGAGTGTATGTGTGTATACAGTATATGAGGATATAAGAAGAAAACGTCAAATCGTTAGGATTTAGTACGACTGGCCTTAGGATCAAATTTGTAGAGATATCGAAACCATTAATCATAATCTGTCAGCTGATAGCTCCTCCTCTCCCCCAAAAAGTTGCCTCTAATGTGCTCTAACTGTGACTTAACTGTATGACCAACTCTGGTAACTATTGCTCATATGTGTCACCGATGTCTTTACTTTTACTTAATAGTGATGCCATCAATGCCATAGTATTAGCGATCACTATAGATATATATAAGTATTGAAATGATTGTGTTTCACATTTTCTCATTATTGCAATCCATTATTGATGCACAACCAGTGATGTACTGATACCAGCTTTAAGATATGCTCAGCTCTTCCTCTGAGACCTCAACAACCAGTGCATCCCAACATCCGATGTCTAATATAAGCATTTATTGCAAATAATAAGCCTTTTTTAGTATACAATATATGCCATACAATGAGCTGAAAAGTGTGATCTGACAGCTTTAAAATGATGAATCACTTGTTATACATATATAAGCCATAAATTTAATGCTTAACTTTATTCCCACTAAATTATCTATAAATTATAGTTATTTTATTTGAACATAATCAATTATTTACAAATATTTCAATATTTAACTTAGTGGTAACATTAATAGAATTCAATATTTATTATATTTAAAAAAAACTTGATATTGAATATTATTTTGATTTTTTTGTTTTTGTTATTATGTAATTATTAAAACAATTATGATATACAAAACATGTAATAATATTGTTATATTGATATTTCGATCGATTATTCAATTAAAATTAATTTATACAACATAATGCATAAAAATGAGAAACAAAAAAAACTATGATATCAAAATATAGTATTTAATAAAATACACAATTATTTTTACTCAATTTTTACTCAATACAGTAGAAATTATCACCTATTTATAAACTATAGCAATTTAATCATACGTAAGTTTAGTAAAAATAATTTTTTAGTGTCTTAAATTCATAAATAAATTTTGTACTTTATAGACACTTAATACAATTATATTCAAAGTTTGATAAACATTATAAAATAGTAAATTAATTTACAATTATAGTTTGTGTTATTTTTTATGCAATATACTGAATATTATTATTCTTACAGTAAATTAATTACAAAAAAAAACATTATATCAGACATCATTTGGGGTTATATTAATAGTTTTGTCAATTAGATAAAATGATATTAAAATGAGTAAATTAATAAATATGAATACAGCGTTTATACTGTATATTACCAATATATTGTGTGAAGTATAAATTATAAGTATTATAGTTACTAATATCTACAGTATATTATAACTTATATAATTTATAAGACAAAATATGATGAAATTTCTTTACAATACTATTGGGAATAAATTGATGCAAATTAATGACAACAAATAAATGATAAGACAGTAATGCGGTTTATTTATGAAATATGTGGTCAATTCAAATAGTTGTCAGCAATTTATATGGACTTGTTGTGGGACAACACCATAAACGCCTTCTCTCCAAATCAAGTAATTCCTTACTTAGGCTTCAATAGGCAACTGATCCCCAAAATAAATGGATATTTTCAGCTATCACTGAGTATGCTGTCAGTGAAGTGTTCAATGCAATAGTCAATTGACTATAAGATGAAAAATCAGATGAAAGTCACATTAAAACAAGTCTTTCTTATAGGTCTATCATTGTTATGCTATACCATTTGTGGTTACTATTATCTCAATTGTCTGCAATAGCTGTGTCGGCTATATTTACTCAAAAATTAATGTGTAACTACAAAACAGTAATATTAAATGCAAACTTTAGCAAAAATCCACACATTTTAGACCATATGATAGTTGACAGTATAGTCTTTAAAAGAGTCTGCTGTTTAACAAAACCTAATATACTGTACAGTTTAACAGTTTTTACATGTATACTAACTATTATAATATATATAAATATAAAACATATATACAGTATATGACTGAACAATGTAAACATCATTTACAAATGCTATATAAAATGCTATACAATATGCTGTTTGAGAAATAATATTGTCTCATAAGTTACATACTATAGTCTATTTACTTAATTGTTTATTATCTAATTAAGTTTATTAATTTGTTCTGTATTTCCTACTATAATTCAATTTAGTTTTTACACTATAAATAAATACATTTTATATAAATAAATTTAATTCTTTAAAACCTGAATAATATAAACAAATATATAACATGTAGTTATTATAGAAAATGTTATTTTATTTATATAGATATTTATTTATTAATTAATAGAATAATCTTCTATTACTAACTTTAAATCGATAAATACAATTCAATACGAATAGAATATCTAATAATAAAATAATTATTAATAAAATTATTTGATAAAGTTATATACTATTTATACCTAATTTTTTGTTAATTATGTAAGAAAAAATTATAAAAATATTTTTATATATATTTAAAAATTTTATCAAATACAGTAATATAACTTAGTGTATGATCTATGAAATCGTATTTGAATTTATAGTACAGTGGAAAACAATTTCAAAGACAAAAGAATTTTCTGTTTATTTTTGATATTATATACAATTGATGTCAAATAATATTTGTATAAAATGTTTATTCTTTGGTTTTATGTCTCGTTGTTTGAGTTAAACCTCAAAGTATTTTAATTTAATTTTATATAAATTTATAGCATTTTGGATGTGAGTCAATAAATTCTAGTAAAAATTTTGAACAAATATTTTAGTAGTCGTTTACAAGTGAATAATGTTTTTCATGTTTTAGGTGTTTGTCTCTCAATTCAATATACAATACATCAAAATGTTTAACATTTCAATGTTTGTCTCTTCACTCGTCAAAGAGTTTTACATCTCTATGCGTTTGAATAGCTTTTGAAATAAAAGTTATTTCCATTTATTAGTTAAACAAATAATTGCAAACAATAAGTCAGAGATAGATTAGCGGTAAAGAAAAGAAAATGATAAATCATATATAAACAGACATATCATATGAATTAACTCATTATATTTCTTTAAAGACATAAACTGGTAGTAATAACTTAGTCACGACTTCATTGCCATAACTGTCATATATATACAACTTATAATATTATTTTATTATATTTTGAGAAAACACTTATAGGATATATTAATTTACTATTTATTGATATTCAGTACTCAAACTATATAATATATATTATAATTTATGCTCTAATATATGTATTAAATTGATGTACAGTATAATAAAAAATATGATGTAGTAATACTAATAATAAAGTATATAAATTTACTTCAATGTTTTTATAAGTTTCTTATATCAACATACAAATAACAGCTCATTTGATTTTTCACTAAACATTTTAATGCCCTTAAGATAAATAAACGACTTTATAAACTTTTAATTATAATTTACTATAATAATGTTATTATTTATAAATAATATGTAATTTGTTAAATAAAATATACAGTGTAAATTGTTCAATTATATTGGTGTTATAAACTAATTTACTAAATTTAGACTAAATATAAAAAGTTGAATCTATCCTTTTTGAGCAAACATCAGATACAAATACCGATAATAAGTTAATTTTTATAATACTTATTTATTAAATAAAAATTATAATAAATAATTATTAAATGTATATTAAACAAATATTTATATTTTGCATTACTATTACTCAATTAATATTGCTAAAATAGTTTTATAGTAATACTTTCTTTATTTATTAATACAAATGAAACATATAAATACAACATATGTATTAAACATGTCTTACATGTAATTATTCGTAACTGTTTAAAACAGATTTTTTATATAACATTTTTGGTTACATTTTATTCATTGTATTATAAGGCAGTTTTCCAAATGAATTCACTTTGAAAGTAAAAAATAATTTTTAGTTTTTATTTCTTAAAATATGTTTAATACAAAACTTTTACTTTTTGAGTGCATAACAAAAGCATGTGTTTATTCATAAAAGATTAGTGAAACCAATGCATAAATGTATTGAATATGTTATGAAAAATATATTGTTTGTCGATCACAACTATAATAAAGCTTTTGCTCAATACTAACACATAAAACTATGAAATAATCAATAACTCATTTTAGTAGTATTTATAAAAACGTTAAGACAGTATTTAATGGTCGGAATGGTAGGGAAATGTTGGAAATGTTGGAAATAATAGAACTGAAAGGAACGGTAGGAATGATAGGCCACTGTTTTATTGAACCATTCCTTATATAAGAGAGAGAATTATAGATTTGCTAATTATAGCGGTTCTACATATTTATTAAACTATGCACTATATAAGCACTTATTTTATATTAAAAATAATAATTTTATACAAATGTTTATGACAGAGAACACAAAAAAATATTTAACAATTGTGTATATTTAAAAAATTAAAATATATTTTATTTGTTTATAAATTGGATTGTTTTGAATTATTTGGTTGAATAGTTTTTACAGTAATATTAATATAACAAACAATTGTCATTTTAAACAAAGTACTTTATTATGATAATTATAAATGTTTATAAAGTATATGTAGATATATATAAGTTTACTAAAAAAGAATCAATGATTGAGTATTAGTGGGAAAAAGCAATTAATAAATTTCGTTTATATCACTAAAAGATATGTTTTGTGATAACAAACAAGTGATGTATACTTTAATGTTTTAGTGTTTCACTGTTAGGGCCGTGTGCTGTGCGCTACGGTATATCACTCCTACCAGTGCCAGTATTGTGCTATATGTCGTTCCCCATAATAAGTCAAAGAGATCTGGCTTTACACTAAATGAATAATGATCTAAACTGGGGCTATAAATTAGCTGCCATTTGACAAATGAATATTATTGAACAGACACTAACTATAAAAAAGTCTCATATCTGCTCTTATTTATAAAATAACTGAATTGCAAACAAATATACTATATATATATACCTTATATGTAATAAAGTAGTCATTAGGAAAATATTGCATATTTTGAATAAACTCTATAAACTCGTATATATTATTAATATTAATATTTGAATAATTCAAGCAAATCTTATTCAAAAACTGAAATTAAAATATTTTTATATATATATATATATATATATATATATATATATATATATATATATATATATATAGTATATTCATGTAATAAATAATATAATATAAAAAATAGTTAATCAAAATGTCATTTGATTTTCAAGGAAATAACTATTACATGTAATATTGTAAATATATTTATTAAAATCACTTATTTGATGTGATATTATAAAAAATAGAACTAAGAATTATGGTGTTGTAAAGCAAACTATGAATACAATGATTGTTATTGCAGTTTAATATATCGTATATATAGTATACAGTATATTGGCTTATGTATGATATAATATGAATGTATAGAGTATATGGCAAATACTATGGCATCCATTGATGCCAATTGTGATTTAGTTTTGTCTGTAATCTGTTTTGTGTGTTATGGAGGGCGTGGGCTCTCATTCTTGATATGCCATAAATTACATATATATCAGCTCTTAAAAGCAGACAATTGTGCAGAAAATCCTAATTTTTTAGCTCTAATATCATCTGTACATTACAATCATCTTCAATAATAAGCGCATCATTTTGTGATCTTTGGCCAAATTCTTGATCATTTCGGTTCAATTCAGTGATAAAATCTCATTTGTTGTGATATTCCTATGCTTTATATACTAATGACAACTCAGGCAACGCTCAAAGCAGTCATCAAACGGTGAAACCAATTATAGCCGAAACACTGAAATCACTGAATAAATGGTTCACTTGTTTCCCATATTATACTAATTCATACATTTATAGACTTTTGCATCCATAAAATGTACACTCAAACCAGTTATTTATCATTTAATTGAACTTAATAAACCATTTTAATCAATACTAAATTAAAAATTAAACATTCAATAAAATTATTATATAAGATATTATATAGAGTTTTGACACACTTATTGAATAAAAATTTTAATATAATTCAAAATAATTTATTTTGTTCAAAATTGAATTATATTTTCTTTAATTAAAATTTTTCACAAAATATTGTGTTTTCATATTAATTGCTAATGATTATTTTAAATTAAAAACCAATTTAATTGTTTTAAAATTGGTTTGTAATAAAAAATATATATTGTATTGTTAAAATTCAATTTAAATGTTTTAAAAAGAAAAATAAAACAAATTAAATTAGTATTATTTTTTGGATAAACACTTAAAGACAAAACAATGTCATTAAGTAAAATAAAATAAAACAAAGTGTTTTTTATAACTGTAAAGTAAAGTAAACAAAATTTAGACAAATATTATATAGTGTTATAAATAGAGAAGTGTTGTGAATGTCGTGAATAAAATTCTTAATATTCTTCATATCATTGGTTATCCATTATTACGATTCTATGACTGAATCGTTTGAATTATTGGTGTCTCCGATGTCTCGTTTGATGAATAACACAATTTATATAGAAATACATAGATATATAATGTATTGGAAAAAACAAGAATACCATAGAAATAGCAGAGGTTTTGTTGTTTGAGGCAAATATCAGTGTGAATGTGACAAAAACAGATGTGAAAATGGGAACTCATACTGAGGTTAAGACAATGACTACCCATTCCTACGTTACAATAGATGAATTGTAAGGCAAACAGGTATTACTAAAGTTGTAATCACAATTCACTACAACATTACATTATACACATCACATGCACACACATTCAACAAAAGTCATCACAATTTTTAGCTTTTTAAAACACACTTTAATTTTGTCCGATTTGTAATTGAAGTTAAAGTTATAATTCAAGATAAAAGTTTATAAAGAGATACAATGAGAGAGAGAGAGAGAGAGAGAGAGAGAGAGAGAGAGAGAGAGAGAGAGAGAGAGAAAGAGAGAGAGATGGGTGAGCTATCGTTGATTGGTTATAGTGAGCGCACACTAATAGTGTTGTATTGTTTGGATCAATAAGTGAAGCGAACAAACATAGCATTCAAGAACTTTGCATTACATTTGCCGATCATTTGAAGCAAAACATTGACAAACTCTCTCTCAACTCATCATATGTTTGCTCTCTTCACACACTTTCTGACCACTTCTCTAACACTTTAACTAATCAGTTATCATAAACTATCAAATCATCAAATAATCCATTTATAAAGTCGTCAACAAAGATATTTTAATGTCAATTCTGTTACTTAAAAACAAATTTATTTTAATTTGAATATCTTTAAGATTCAATGAATCTCAAACTGCAAATCAACGTGTTTTTTAAATTCAAGATAATATCAAAAACTTTATTCTTTATAATTTTAATTATTTTATTTCCAAGTAAGTAAAAACAAATAATTTTATTTCCATTTATTTATCTATGATTTACAATTTAATTTTTAGATATTTTTAAACTTTATAAAAATATATTAATAAAGTTTAATTTTATCTATATAAACTGAAATGCCAGTTAATTAAAATGTTTAATTTACATAGTTGACAATAATTGGGCAAAAAACTAGAAAAACTAGTATACACTGTGTGATATTAAATTAATTATTTTATAAGTTGAATATTTTGTAACAAAAAAGATAGTATGAATCCTGTCTACTATATATTATATTCAAATTTGATATTAATTAAATTTTAATATAAGTAATATTTTACAATATAAGTTTTTTATTTTAAAAATGTCGATATATAAAAATAATATTATCTAAAAAATACTGAATTATTTATTCACTATAAATAAATTATATTTTTAAACAGCTGATAGAATAAACTGTTATAATATAAAACACATCAATATATCAATTTTAAATCAATAAATTGACTGACAATTTTTATTGTCTTAAAATTATTAAGCATAAAACTTTGATGTATAAGTTGCTAATAAGTTTAATAAATACAATTTAATAAAGCTATTTAATAACGCTTTATGATTTATTTAACATTAGCAGTTACAGAAATAGTTATTAACTAAATAAAATGTTTTTTCAATTTATTTGCTCTTAAGTGCKCTTAAAAATTATTTAAACATAAATAAATATACTAATAAAATAAAGATTCAATTAAATAAATATATATCGTAGTATATAAAGTATATAATAAGTATTATTAGAAATGTTAAAATAACAAAGAAAATTTTGATATAATATTGAWACTAATAAAAGATTTGGATTTAACACTTAAGAGGAGATATGCTTAGAGATTGGTTGCATTGGTGGCAGTGTGGACATCAAGTGCGGCCATCAGTGGCATCAGTTGAGCCAATTTGGTGTTAAGTGAGCCGTAAATAATGTCCCTTTGAGTTGAGTCGCTCTCAAAAGTATGATATATACAGTTAGAGTATAGTATATATTGAGTACTGAGTTGTGGTTAATATTTGGTTCAGTGAAACTCAGAGCACATTTTGACCCTTTATAGCGTGTAATGATATATCGATTCTTGTTGTCTATAGATGTATAATATTGTATATATTGTATATATATTTCAAAATATCGTTGTAATACACATTTGTATACACTCTCTATATATTTTTGTCTCCAATGCTTTCATACAACCCATTCCTCATATGATTTGCTTCAAACAAGTAAACACTAAATTAGACATACGGTATATACAATATATTGTGAATATATAGTGCATACTTCAGAGTATTTTATTATATAATAATACAATATTACGACTGAAATATTTTTGATGATATAATGTATAACACATATAATATATAGATTTATAGATAAATATGTTGATCCCTTATCAAAGCCAATGTGCGATATAGTGATGCAAACATTTGAATGCATGTGAATGAGTACATCTCAAGAGTAGCACATTTCCAGAGACTCTCAATCTCTTGGTTTCTATATTTCTTTTCAAGTAGTGTTTGCGTGACTTCGTTAGCATATAAAACATGCGAAACAAACAATGGATTCAAAGTAAACTTATATCAAAATTATGCTAAAAATATGAAATACTCATTAAACATACTTATGTTTATAGATAAATATATTATTATAATTTATATTTTATTCTTAATCTTAGGATAATAATAACATTTAAATCATGTTTTACATAAAAATACATAAAAATATTATTAGTATTATTATGATTATCTAAGATTATGCAACATATGTGCCACTGCTTTATATTAATCAAATTAAACAAAATAAATAAAAATAATATTTTAGTTTGAATATAATTTTTAATGCATTTACTGTATTAATACAATCTAAAATTAGTAAAAATATATTTATTTTATAAATACTAAGTTAAAAATTTATAGTATAAATACAATAAATAGTTTTGAATATAKAAAATATATAAAAATTTATTTTRATAATCTTGTATTATATAATATATATGTTAATTAACAATTTAGTTTATATTTAATTTAAGTAGTGTATTGTATATTAATATATAAAATCAGTTAAGCAATCTTACATGCATTCAACTTATTTTTATTGTGTTGTCAATTAAATAACAAAGTTATGAAACACTTTATTGCAAAAGTATTAGCAGTTGAAAACAATTGTTGTCAATATCTTATATCTTAGATCTTATATATAGCACATATATATAGTATATAATATATAAAATTTATATATAGTTGAGTTGAATTATTGGTGAAAGTAAATGATATTGTATTGTTTCATCTTATGATTTCATTTTTGTCAAAATATAACAGTTTTATCCTATTTTGGTTTTTTGATGAAAAGAAAATCTATTAAAACTTTAGGAGACAACCACTGAATGAATGCTCTCAAAATTGATAATAGTTTTAGTGATATTATATCTCACAGTTTGCGTCTCTAAAAGTCTAAACAAAAGCTTTAGTTTKATATCTTATATTTACTCATAATTTGATATTATAGTGAGTGATATTTCATATAAATACAGTAATATATGTTAAACTAAATACAATTATATTAGTAGTAGTAGTAATTAACTGATAAGTCATTGAATCATATAACTATCAATATATGTTATAGATAATAATTAGAGTACTAAACAGTAAAAGTAGGTAAATTAAAAAATTAAATATATTCTGTACATTATATATATATTCTGTATATTCTGTATATTCTGTATATTCTGTATATTCTGTATATTCTGTATATTCTGTATATTCTGTATATTCTGTATATTCTGTATATTCTGTATATTCTGTATATTCTGTATATTCTGTATATTCTGTATATTCTGTATATTCTGTATATTCTGTATACTCTGTATATTCTGTATATTCTGTATATGCGAATAATGTAACGACGAAGAAATGATGCTATTCTTTGAATACTATTTATCGTTTAATTAACAGCGAATAGTAGTGAAGTCTACAATGAAATGTGCAAAAGATAACTGATTTCATTGCAATATAACAGTGAAATGCATTTACTCTCCAAAACAATAGTATTTCTCTTCTGTATATTATTTAAGTTGTGTTCCGTTTCCTACTAATGGATATTTTGCAGTTATTTTATAGTAATGTTAATACATTAATACATATAACATATAATAGCGAGTAATGTTGTGCTTAACTATTTACAATACAATCACAAATGCATTCAACTCTTACTTGTAAAACATTTAGACAATAGTAAAGCACATCATTTCACTTATTATTTATTGTACAAAACCTTATGTTCATTACAACACAGTTTTGTTCAATAAATTCATTTTCTACATTCAACTACAGTATCATTAAATAGGTATATGTGTTAAATGATTTGTTTTTTGCTAAAAACTAATTTTATTATCAAAAATACTTTATATTTCTGAAAATTGTTTGTTAGTATAAGCGCACTAAATGTAAAGTTTACTATAAAATTATACCAAACAAATATTGGAAAATTTAAATTTTTTACAAATAAATTAACTATAATATTTAGACTTAAATGCTCTACTGTTTAGATTTTTACTAAATATAATTTAGCTTTTTCTATAATTTAAGCTTTTTTATACAAAACTCCCAAAAATTATCAAAAAATTAAATAATTTTACAATTAACAAATACATCAAAATTAACACTTAAAAATAAAAAACTAAATATAAAAACATTACTATAAACTTGATTAATAATTTTTTAAAAACGTATTTGAACGTATTTAAAATAATCAGTTGAAAAAATATTATAAAAGATGTTAAAGATAAAGTTATTATTTAAATATGCCAATAGTAACCTATTTTATTGATAATCTGCACAATGAATTTATGTAAATTAATAAACATATATATATATATGCTTTAATATTTATATACTGGTATAAAAAATGTTTTAAATTTCTGATATAGATTTTGACAGTTTCTATCAGCTAATTGTTGACAATTTTAATTTTAGTTCCTGAAATGTGTTAACTTTACATATATTAATATATTTTACAAAATAGTAAACCATTTCAAAGAATTCGAAACTTTTGTCTGTTTTTGTCAACAAATGCTGCAAAACTTTGAAAAAATAAAAATTTGGTAAAAATAAAAAATAATGCTATAGTTATTGTTATAAAACTTTATATTACTTGAAGCCATCTAAAGATTAGTCAACAAACAAGTATACAATGAAATTGTAACTCTATATCAATCAATTATTTGTAACATGTTTTAGCTTTAATATATATTGCTAATAACAAATATAATTTTGTACAATTAAATAAATAGTTTTAGTTTATAATTAAGTGTTAATTAATAAATAGTAAAGATCTCTATTTTAATTAATATTAGTTTCATAATTGTGTAAATGTAAAATGCAAAGTATTGTAATACTAAAAAATTATTATCAGTAATCGATAATATATAAATTCATCAATAATACATGTATACAATATACACAATAATACCTGTATATATAAATATATATATAAGATTATATACATAAACAAGTTATATAATATAACTTATGAATATATTTAATTTATAGTATAAATAATAAAAATATAAACTGTAATACATTATTTGTATAGTATATTTGTATAATATATGATGTAGTGGTATAGAGTATAGACTATACATAGAATTGCTGTAATTACCGTCTGTATTAAATCAGAGTTAATTATTAAATATTTTATTTAAATTACTTAATAAATTTGTTTTAGAATAGTATTGCATTATGCATTATAATTTTTTAAAATTAAAACATAATTGCATTTTTATATCAAAAATATTAGTAGATTTATATCACTTGACTGGCAATATTAGTACAGTATATACAGTGTATATACAAAACATTAATTTGTTTAGACTTTCTCTCTAAATTCCGTTTGTAATTATAATGTTAGAGGAAATTTACATTAATTAAGTTTTATCAGTTTTGCTTATAAACATAATTTAAACCTAAATATAATACAAACAAACACTAGTTTAAAAACACTATACAGTATATAAAATTATAAATTAATTGATTACAAAATTGTATTTACGTAAAATTACATAAAATAAGACTAAATAAAAAACTATTTTATTGAATTCACTTATTGCATTGAATGCAAATATTAAAGCTATAATATAGTACATATAATACTTCATAAATACTTGTTTGAATTAAATAATTATTGGAAATTAACTAATTATAAGGTAAAAAGTTATTGTTAATGAAATATAAGCTTATGTTTTAATTAATTTAAATTGAATTTGAATTAATGAGTCACAGATATGATGTGTTGTGCATATAAAGCAATCGATGACACTTTGGATACATTAATATAGAGCTAAGGAATTAATTGCTAAGTTTAGTGTAACTTAACTGTTGGCAAACTATATGTAGACTACAATTAGTGTTTTAATTAAATGTGATAACGGCTTGTATGCCATAACAAGTCTAAGCAAATATTACTTGAATTAACTGTTTCGTGAATGTAATGTAAAATTCATTGCACCTAACATTTGCACTACCAGTTCATATAACATAAAAACATAAATTTATATCTATGTAAACACACGACATGTAGTATAACTATATGATACTAAAAATTACTACATTATATACTATACAAATGTTATAATGTTTTACTGTATGTACTTATAGCCGATATGTATATTACATCACTATTTAGATGACTTTATGTGATGTAAATAAAAGCATTTTTATAACATAACTTATTACTTTACTTTAACTATAAAAGTTAATTAGAAATAGTAAAATATTTATAAATGTATTTAACATTTAATGTAAAATAAAACAATTTTTAGTCACATGTTATTTATAGATTTCAATAGCAATTGATTGTTAAAGTGATTAATCTTTAGTTTTATTGTTGACTAAAGACATTGAATGAATGCTTTTTAGGAAAACAGGTGACAAATATAGGACCAAATAATAGGCAAATGTTGTAATGTCTAGAAATGTCTTATAAGCAAACAAAAGGTACTGATGTACTGATACTTGAGTTGACCGCACATAATATATGGCTCTTAAACATATAGCCCTTATTGTTGTCAACCAATTTAAGACTTATCGGATTCACTGTCTTTGTTGAATCAAAAGCCAGTAAAAGCATTGAAATGCATTGAAATGTCTTAAATGTCTATAAATGGCCACAAATTCACTGTTTTTCTCATCAATTTTTGCTTTAATTCAATAGAAATGAGCGCTGATTGGAATTTCTGGTGGACTTTTGATGGCATATCAGGTAAATAATGACTACAAATACTATATTACATTTTACTATACTATTACTTAACTTTAATACTTTTATTTTTAACTAAAATTAAATTTTTCTGACTATTTTTATATTTAATATTAAATAAATATTTTATATGTAAAGCTTATTGTGTATAAAGTAATATCACATTATTTTCTAATAGATTTTATTTAAACTAAATTAATTTTATATATCATATTAACTCAAAAAAGATCTTTTAAAGATTACCTAATGAAAGTACATAATATAAATATAAATTTATATTGTATATGATATACATTACTAACATTACCCTCAAGTATCCATAAGGGCTCCAAAAATAAATTAAAATAATAAATTCAAAATAAAATTGAATTTTTCTATCAAAATCTTATTTTCTATAAAAATATTCTTTAGTTTTCTTTAAGAATAAGTAAATGAAAAAATAAAAATATTTTGGAATTTACTATATATTAAGTAAAATACTGTATAAATATAAAAACAAAACAATTTTTTGCATTAACTAATTTAAGTATACACAGTATAATAATAATAATGAATAAATAAATAGATGATTACTATTTACTCAAACCATGTGTGTATTATTTGTTGATATATTTTATAATAACATTAAGTTACTAATATCTAAATATTTTTATAGTTTATGTAATGAGACTAAAATAAAACATATTTTATGTATTAATATTATGTATAATAAAATTGTTGACAAAATAGTTAAAACTGGTATTTCTTATAACATTATCAATTCATACAAACTATTGATAGATCAATGAAAATTTACAGCTCTTTAAAACAATAAATTTTCAAACAATTATAATGGTTTACTTGGTTTAACTATTACTTGGCACCGATATGTGAGGGTAATTATATGCAAAATAATAGGTATATTAAACTTTAATTTTATAATTAAAATGTATAAAAACGTGTTAAACTCTAAATAATTTTAATTATAGAATCAAAATTTTAGATTAATTATTTAAAAAAATTATTTTATTTTTATATTATTTAGATATTTTTACAGATTGTTAAGGAAAAATTAAAATTGTTTACTTTAATTATAACAACTAAAAACTATTGAGCAACTTTGTAACTTGATATTTTTAATGTAAAAACCAGTCCTATCTATTTTGTCAATGATTGTAAAGTATATATTTGACAATGTATACAATGTATGTACAGTATACAATATAATTATATAGTAATATCAAATAAAATACCATATGATTAATAATGAAACTATTATCAAATAAATAATCAAATCACTTGACATAAATAAAATTATTTAGAATTAATGGAATAAATTTGGAAAAATATAGTCACGAAAAATTTTATTATTTATTAGACTTACCATAAATTTTACAAATGCAAAACAAACATTTATTATATATTTTGGTTATAAAAATGATACTCTTGTCACACAAAAAAAAGTCAATAAATTTTAAAACTTATTGCATTATTTTGTTTAATAAATTATTATTATTATTGTTATTGTACTGTATATTAAATATAAACAATATTATTATCGTGTCTGCAAAATATAAATTTTTAAAAACTATTTATGAATTTTATTTCTGAAATTTCATTACCAAAATTTATTTACAAATGATCTTTTTTATAAATGTATAATATAGTTAATTAAAATATAATAAATATTAGAAAATAGAAATAATAATCAATTATAATTAATAAATCATAGAAATATGCAAACAATATATAATTCAAACAAATAAAAAATGTAATTATATTTTTAATAATAAACTTTTTTTATCTTATTATTTAATTTATTATACAATATTGTTTTTTGTAAACATACAAATTTTGTTAGTATTTATTGCGTATTTTAGTGTTTTAATTAGTTAAGTTGTTACTAATTTATCTAAATGTATTAGTGTTTTAAATTATAGTATAATAACCCAAACAAAGTAAAATACCACTATATATTATAGTAAATATATTTTTTGGCCAGCAGTCAATTTTTATTAATGAAGTTGAAAAGTAATTAATTTTAACCACTATTTAAATTATTTATTCAGTTTTTAGTTTAATAAATTAATTTTGGTTAATTTTTAATGTTTTTAATACTAATTTTTAAGTTAAACCCATAGGAGATACTTATCAAAAATTACTAGAAATATTTGTTAAGTTTTGAAAAATAAGAATTTTTGTTTATCACTAATATTACATAAAGTCTAACACAAATATTTTATTATCTAAACAGTATATTTCAAAATTAAATTTATAAATATTTTCAGAATTATCAATAATAATATCTCATATTTAATAAAATTAATTAAACATGTACTTTATCTATATTGTCAAATAAAATAAGTTATATTATATACGTTATGAAATAATTATTTGCTTTTGTTAGAAACAAAGTTACTTTTTGCTACAGCAGTACATAATTTAACAAATTTTTGCACAAATAGTAAATTTATTTATATATTTAATAAGTTTGATAATATAAATTAATTTTTAGGTATTTGTAAGAATAAATTTGACTATTTTATCGATATTTTACTGATTTCTCAATAAAGAAATATTAAAATTTTTGAATTTAAAAATACATTATATTATAAACATTTAAAGCATATGAGCATTTACAAATAAAAATAAATGAGTAATTTAATTTAATTAAAAAATTTATTTTAAATTAATAATTTACATTAAATGATATATAATTAGTATCTATTAAAAATAAACTTTTTAAATTAGACACTTTAACTATCAATTTATTTTTTTTAATTTAAAACAACTTTATATAAAAGTTTAAAAGGCAGTTAATCTCAAGTACTATACAACATAAGTTACGGTAACATAATTGAATATTTGTTTGATTAAAAATTTATTTTGTTAATTGAATTAATTTAATTTAAAGTTTACAAAATAGTTTACAATTACATATGTTTGTTATGATAATATTAGTTTGCAGTTATAAAATGCTAAATTTAAATCATTATTATTGAAATATTTCTAAAAATTGGACATGATAAAAAGATAAATGAACTTTTATTTTTATTTTACTTAAATAGGTTTTAAGCATTTTTATATATAGATTAACAATAAAAAAGAGAAGAAATGCTATTAAAAATGTTATATAAGAAGCAATTATTAATTGAGTGTTTGAGTCTTTTAATCTTTTGTCGAGTAAAATGAATTTTTAAAGTTTTTTGAAACCTTGTAATCCTTTTATAGAATATATTGTATATAATATCGTCAGTGTCTCTCATATGACTAATTTATTAGAATATTCTTTAAGTTTACAATTTATCATTCATTCAGTCATTCATTGAGATTATATAGAAAGCCATTGTATTCACTGTCAGTCACTATAAACCATATCTTCAATAATGACTTAAACGGATAATAAAAGACTCAAACATTTTGATCGCATGAAGAATGAATCAAAACAGGAGACCATTTCATTTGAAATATATTATAAAAAGCATTTGTTGCTAAACTCAGCCGGCATTCAATATATCAATTTCAATATAATATACTAAATATCTGTTTGGGTGTACCAGTTGTGCTCATATATAAACTATACACAAATTACTAGAATATTCATTTATTTAATGATGTGATTTATCGCATATACTGTACATTATAATATATAAAAAGTCTTTTATTATAATAGATATCTGTATATTGAATATATTTATACAGGTATTACATTTATAAAGATATACATATAGTGTATACAAATTGCTATATATATATATACTTTATACTATTAATATATATACTGTATATTGTTATATGATATATATGCTACATATATACTATATATTGTATTTAGTCAAAGTTTGATATATTACTGTGGCAAATATATTTCGAGACAAATTGTAATATGAAAACTTAATAGATTTTTCTGCATTCGGTTTAATAATTAAAAATTATTTTTTTATGGTATTAAATAGTAGAGATATTCATTATTATTGTTAATATATATAGTATAATAATTAAAGTTTTATAATGCTACAAAATTAGTAACCTCAATTTTTAGAATTGTATAATTTATAAAATCTAAGAAAAACTATTAATCCTGATAAAATAATAAAAGTATTTTTATTTTATTAGATTTCTGACAATTAAAGAATTATTTATGAAAAATTACAAAAAAAAATACAATTTATACTTATTTCTAAAAAACGAAAATAAATTTTAAAATGTTTTTGTTATTTATTAAAATTATATTTTTCTAATAAATTTTTTAAAATGATTAAATATTATATTATGTTGCCTGCTTTTAAGAAAATAATAAAATAATTTTTTATTATTGACGAAAATACCAAACATTATTACAAATTAAAATTGTGCTATTTTGGAAGACAAATTTAGACCTAATTTTAGATAAAATTATTTATTAAAAATTGTAAGCATTTGATAAACTTACTGATTTTTACTAAAAAATAAACATCAAATATTACTCTTTAAAATTAATATTTTTTTGTTTAAATTTATTTTTATTTTAAACATAAAAATATCAAAAAAGATTACTGTTTTAAAATGTCATTTATCAAATATTTTTGTAAATAATTCCAAAAACTTTTTAGACAAAGATATTAAACTACTATTATTTTGATAAGTGATAATCATAGAAAATATGTACATTAAAACAAAAATATAAAACATTCTAATATTCGAATTATTTTAGAAAAACTTAATACAAAGATTCTGTCTCGAAATTTACTAGCCACAGTAATAAATTATGTATTTAATGGTGGTTTTGAATAAATCAGTTTCTGTCTCAAATCGTACAATATTTACAAACTTATAAGATATGATTGAATGAATGGAGTCATTATATTTTGTTACTATGATATAATAATATTATTTATTTACCATTATATATATATATATATATATATATATATATATATATAATATATTGTATTTACAGTATAATATTTAATATAGTATTTTTGAAATGATTAGCTTATATATGATTTATATATTTTTTAATACTTGGTTTATTTTTTAATATG